GTGAGGAGAATGAACTGTGAGGAGAGTGAACTTTGAGGAGAATGAACTGTGAGGAGAGTGAACTGTGAGGAGAGTGGACTGTGAGGAGAATGAACTGTGAGGAGAGTGAATTGTGAGGAGAATGAACTGTGAGGAGAGTGAACTGTGAGGAGAGTGAACTGTGAGGAGAGTGAACTGTGAGGAGAGTGGACTGTGAGGAGAATGAACTGTGAGGAGAGTGAACTGTGAGGAGAATGAACTGTGAGGAGAGTGAACTGTGAGGAGAATTAACTGTGAGGAAAGTGAAACGTGAGGAGAGTGAACTGTGGGGAGAATTAACTGTGAGGAAAGTGAAATGTGAGGAGAGCGAACTGTGAGGAGAGTGAACTGTGAGGAGAGTGAACTATGAGGAGAGTGAACTGTGAGGAGAGTGAACTGTGAGGAGAGTGAACTGTGAGGAGAGTGAACTGTGAGGAGAATGAACTGTGAGGAGAGTGGACTGTGAGGAGAATGAACTGTGAGGAGAGTGAACTGTGAGGAGAATGAACTATGAGGAGAGTGAACTGTGAGGAGAATGAACTGTGAGGAGAATGAACTGTGAGGAGAATGAACTGTGAGGAGAGTGAACTGTGAGGAGAATGAACTGTGAGGAGAGTGAACTGTGAGGAGAATGAACTGTGAGGAAAGTGAACTGTGAGGAGAATTAACTGTGAGGAAAGTGAACTGTGAGGAGAATGAACTGTGAGGAAAGTGAAATGTGAGGAAAGTGAAATGTGAGGAGAGTGAACTGTGAGAAGAATGAACTGTGAGGAAAGGGAAATGTGAGGAGAGTGAACTGTGAGGAAAGTGAACTGTGAGGAAAGTGAACTGTGAGGAGAGGGAACTGTGAGGAGAGTGATCTGTGAGGAAAGTGAAATTGGAGGAGAGTGAACTGTGAGGAGAGTGAACTGTGAGGAAAGTGAACTGTGAGGAGAGTGAACTATGAGGAAGTGAACTGTGAGGAAGGCGAACTGTGTGGAGAGTGAACTGTGAGTAAAGTGAACTGTGAGGAGAGTGAACTGTGAGGAAAGTGAACTGTGAGGAAAGTGAACTGTGAGGAGAGTGAACTGTGAGGAGAGTGATCTGTGAGGAGAGTGATCTGTGAGGAAAGTGAAATGTGAGGAGAGTGAACTGTGAGGAGAGTGAACTATGAGGAGAGTGAACTGTGAGGAAAGTGAACTGTGACTAGAGTGAACTGTAAGGAGAGTGAACTGTGAGTAGAGTGAACTGTGAGGAGAGTGAACTGTGAGGAAAGTGAACTTTGAGGAGAGTGAACTGTGAGGAGAGTGAACTGTGAGGAGAGTGAACTGTGAGGAAGTGAACTGTGAGGAAAGTGAACTGTAAGGAGGGTGAACTGTGAGGAAAGTGAACTGTGAGGAGAGTGAACTGTGAGGGAGAGTCAACTGTGAGGAGAGTGAACTGTGAGGAAAGTGAACTGTGAGGAGAATGATCTGTGAGGAGATGTGATCTGTGAGGAGAATGAACTGTGAGGAAAGCGAACTGTGAGGAGAATGAACTGTGAGGAGAGTGATCTGTGAGGAGAGTGATCAGTGAGGAGAGTGATCTGTGAGGAGAGTGATCTGTGAGGAGAGTGATCTGCGAGGAGAGTGATCTGTGAGAAAAGTGAAATGTGAGTCAAGTGAACTATGAGGAAAGTGAACTATGAGAAAGTGACCTGTGAGACAAGTGAACTATGAGGAAAGTGACCCGTGAAGAAAGTGAACTGTGAGGAGAGTGATCTGTGAGAAGAGTGAACTTTGAGGAGAGTGTTCTGTGAGGAGAGTGAGCTGTGAGGAGAGTGATCTGTGAGGAGAGTGATCTGTGAGAAAAGTGTTCTGTGAGGAGAGTGATCTGTGAGGAGAATGAACTGTGAAGAGAATGAACTGTGAGGAAAGGGAACTGTGAGGAAAGTGAACTGTGAGGAGAGTGAATTGTTAGGAGAGTGAACTTTGAGAGTGAATAGTGAGGAGAGTGAACCATGAGGAGAGTGGATTATGAGGAGAGTAAACTATGAGGAGAGTGAACTATAAGGAGAGTGAAATGTGAGGAGAGTGGACTGTGACAAGAGTGAATTGTGAGGAGAATGAGCTGTGAAGAGAGTGAACTGTGATGAGAGTGAACTTTGAGGAGAGTGAATTATGAGGAGAGTTATCTGTGGTGAGTGAACTGTGAGGAGAGTGAACTGTGGGGAGTGAACTGTGAGGAGTGAACTGTGAGGAGGGTGAAATGTGAGGAGAGTGAAGCAGGGAAGAGAATGAATTGGCATCAAGATAAACTACGGGGAAGACTTCATGAACTAGGAGGGTTGGTGGCGGGAAGACTTCATGAACTAGGAGGGTTGGTGCGGGAAGACTCCATGAACAGGAGGGTTGGTGGCGGAAGACTTCAGAACTAGAGGGTTGGTGGGGAAGACTCCATGAACTAGGAGGGTTGGTGGCGGGAAGACTCCATGAACTAGGAGGGTTGGTGGCGGGAAGACTCCATGAACTAGGAGGGTTGGTGGCGGGAAGACTCCATGAACTAGGAGGGTTGGTGCGGAAGACTTCATGAACTAGGAGGGTTGGTGGCGGGAAGACTCCATGAACTAGGAGGGTTGGTGGCGGGAAGACTTCATGAACTAGGAGGGTTGGTGGCGGGAAGACTCCATGAACTAGGAGGGTTGGTGGCGGGAAGACTCCATGAACTAGGAGGGTTGGTGACGGGAAGACTCCATGAACTAGGAGGGTTGGTGGTGGGAAGACTCCATGAACTAGGAGGGTTGGTGACGGGAAGACTCCATGAACTAGGAGGGTTGGTGGCGGGAAGACTCCATGAACTAGGAGGGTTGGTGGCGGTAAGACTCCATGAACTAGGAGGGTTGGTGGCGGGAAGACTCCATGAACTAGGAGGGTTGGTGGCGGGAAGACTCCATGAACTAGGAGGGTTGGTGACGGGAAGACTCCATGAACTAGGAGGGTTGGTGGCGGGAAGACTCCATGAACTAGGAGGGTTGGTGGTGGGAAGACTCCATGAACTAGGAGGGTTGGTGGTGGGAAGACTCCATGAACTAGGAGGGTTGGTGGCGGGAAGACTCCATGAACTAGGAGGGTTGGTGGTGGGAAGACTCCATGAACTAGGAGGGTTGGTGGGGGAAGACTCCATGAACTAGGAGGTGGTGGTGGGAAGACTCCATGAACTAGGAGGGTTGGTGGCGGGAAGACTCCATGAACTAGGAGGGTTGGTGGCGGGAAGACTCCATGAACTAGGAGGGTTGGTGACGGGAAGACTCCATGAACTAGGAGGGTTGGTGGCGGGAAGACTCCATGAACTAGGAGGGTTGGTGACGGAAGACTCCATGAACTAGGAGGGTTGGTGGGGAAGACTCCATGAACTAGGAGGGTTGGTGTGGGAAGACTCCATGAA